TATGTTTATGTATGTATTTATGTATATATGTGTGTTGTGATATATAAATATATATATATATATATGTGTGTGTGTGCGTGTGTGTGTAGCGATGTATGTGTCTAGATATATATAGATATATTTTTGTGTGTGTGTGTGTGTTTCTATGTTTCTGTGTTTGTATATATATATATATATTTATATATTTATACATTAGTATATTTGTGTATTTAAATATATATATATAAATATATATATTTATATTTATATATATATATATATATATATATATATATATATATAATATTTATTTGTATATATATAAATATACATTTATGTTTGTGTGTGTATGTGTATGTATATGTATAAATATATATATATATATATATATATATTGTGTTTGAGTATGTTTATGCTTTTGTTATGTTCACGGACATGTTATTTTCCAATTCAACTGTTTTATGCAGCTACAACCCTTTCTTGATACTAAGAACCAGGCATAAATAAGAAGGTCTAGTGGGTGCACCTAGATACTTTTGGAATTTGCGAGCTCCATACAGATCTTATGCACAGTGTTCTCATTCTCGTAGCAAGCAAACAAGGCTGTCGGTGAAAGGACCGACTAGATCCCGTTGTCTGTGAACGTACGTATTATAGGCGGTTTTCTGTTGATTTATCGCTACTAAGCTCTGAACCCCACAACGATCCAGAACTTTCACATAGACAGTGATCAATGAATTTCCCCCTTTTTTTTTGTGCTTAAACAAGTAAATGTAATTTGAGGAGCAATGAAACAGTTTTAAACCGTTCTGCTACAGTATGACCCAAACCCTGTCCGCGCCTTTTGGTTTAATGCATCCACGAAGTTGTTTGCGATGAAGAGTCTGTGGAATCCTAAAACAACCTTATGATTTGCGATTGGTTCTAGTGTCACTTGTATATATTTATCAGTTTAAGTCATATATTGCGACGTATGGACCTTCGTATGTCTTATCTCATGGCGCGAAGCTTGAAATATGTGCTTGTGCTCACCACACGGTATCTTCTATGGGCACCCTTCGAAGTGCCTCAACAAAATGATGTGTTTTTCTTTGCCGACTTTTTTACTTGCATATCTTACTTACCTTCCTTATACTGTAAACCTTTGCTCTAGGTCAGCCTGTAGGTGCATATGAGTACTCGAGAACACAAAATCCAACTCGAGAGGCGTACGAGGGTGCCTTGGCATGCGTAGAAGATGGCAAGCACGGCGCTGTTTTCTCGTCAGGAATCGCAGCGATGTCCTCAATTACCCAGCTGTTGAAAGCAGGGGAGGTATCCCATGTGCCCTACTTTATAAGCTGTTAGCTTCAATGTTAACTTCAAGAAAAAAGGGGGAAGGGTATACTTAGTTGTCTGCAACTCGCAATTACACACCTGCTAGACATCCATTTGCGTTAACATCGTATATTATACTGCATTGACCTTTCACAGCATGTGGTATGTATGGACGACGTGTATGGCGGTACACACAGATTCTTCACGAAAGTGGCAGTGAACAACGGCATCGAAATGGATTTTATTGATCTGCGGGATGAAAGTATACGCAAAGCTTCGTTGCGCACGAATACTCGGATGATCTGGATCGAGTCCCCAACAAATCCCACCTTAAAGCTTGTTGATGTAAGTGGTATCAGGCTCTGTGTATGTTTTCCCTGGTGTTGCTGCGCTAAATTGTTCAAAAATCCTCCCTACGCCAGAACATATCTTTCAGTAACCTTTCTCATGTCTGTCGCTGATCGTAGTCAGTGCAACGTACTATACGAAGCATGAGCTCAGGCGCGCGGGCAAAATGTAGGAATTTTGTCAGTATATTGTCAGCGTTCTATATATGTTTTGTATGGCATGTGATGGGAATGACTGTAGGCCCAAACTATATAATATCGACGGTGTTGTCAATGGTACCGTGTGAGTGATTCCACATTTGGTACTGAGCGTCAAAATAGGGTTCGAACAACCATAGTGAACTTAATATTTTGGACAGTTTGGTAGGCAAGCGGTAGCTTTCATGACATATCAGATTCCGAACGCTGTTAATCCCCATTTAAAATTTGTCAGTACAGATCCAGTCGATTGCTAGAATAGCACATGAGTACAATAAAGATATTATTGTAGTTGTAGACAACACATTCATGTCGCCCTACTTCCAACGGCCGTTGAATTTAGGTGCAGACATAGTGATGCATTCGGTCACAAAGTATCTTAACGGCCACAGTGATGTGTGCATGGGGGCCGCAGTCACCCGGTCGGACACAATTGGGAAACGTCTCCACTTTATTCAAAACGGTAGGTCGGCTTTCTTTTTCTAAGAGCCACGCTATAATATTGTTTATTGCAACTCCGCTGATGCGAAACGGACACATTTCCTAGACTCGAAGGTGCAGATTATGCTGACATCCGAATACTGATAGTTTTGTCTGGTGTACTAAATATGTGTAAACTCTGTGCCTTTTCCAGCTATGGGGGCGACTCCTTCTCCATTCGATTGCTACCTTGCACATCGTGGATTAAAAACGTACGTATATCCATCATTTGCTTTTTAATTGAAATTTAATGCGGATCCGTCTTGTATTTCTGACCATGCGTCAAATCATGGCGCTGCGAGTTCGTTACGATCTGGTGGCAAGTATGTAAGACTATCGTATACAGCTTGTCGATACTCATCTCGGCAATTATTGTCCCAAACAGGCTTCATTTGCGCATGAAAGCACACGGCGAGAACGCGATGAAAATTGCGTTGTTCCTGGAAAACCATCCTCGCGTATCTAAGGTAGGCGCTAGGAGTTCTGGTGATCACCGGTGGCTGCGAATTGCGTATCGATGAGCTTTTTTTTTTTAATTACTCAGACTGAATCACGGGATTGCCAGAGAGAGAAAGTTACAGGCCATCCTTACTTTCAAATTTTGGGTACGTGCTTTACTTATTGGTTTATTTTCGAATCTCTCAATACAGTGTGTGTATCCAGGCCTTCAAAGTCATCCCCAGCACGCATTAGCTCGTTCTCAGATGACAGGTAAAGTGTAGTTTGAGCCAAGATCTGGTGCTCGATATCGAACGGAAAGTTAGTCAATTAGTTCTTCGCGAGTTGTGAGGATAATTGTCGAAAGTTGTGTGCTTATTGAATAGAAGATCGAACTGCCGAGAATGCGCTAATCCTTTTCTATTTCGTGGCAAATATTTGGAACCAATGCATATATTGAAGTTTACTCGTCTATCGCATAAGCGCAGCTTCAAAGTACTTCTTGATGCTTTCCTACCCTCGCACAGGTTTTGGGGGTATGTTGTCATTCTATCTCAAGGGGGATGGGAAAGCCACCACCCAATTTCTGCAACGATTAAAGGTGAGTGGGTGATGGGTTTGCAATAGAGATCGTGTCGTCCTTTCAGTTTCTTCTTTTGAGCCCCTTGCTACCTGATCCATCTGGATGCATGTAGAGTTATGTTTTTATTCCCGTTGGTATTTAGCTAACAAAATTACACAGAACAGAATATTTTTCTTGTAAGTCGAGGTGAGTGTATTTAATTGTTCATCGGTATCTTTAAAACTGCGCTGTTTTTGAAGATCTTCACGCTGGCTGAAAGTCTCGGAGCGGTGGAGTCTCTCGTAGAGGTACCAGCGTTGATGACACACCATGGACTAAGTCCTGCGCAACGGGCAGCAATGGACATTTCGGACAACATGATCCGAATTTCCGTAGGTGTAGAAGATGTTGTTGATTTAATTCAAGATTTAGATAACGCCCTGGCCGCGATATAAACTTGACAAATAAAGTAGGTGTAGTGGATGTTGAAGCTTCCATTAAGCATTTAAAAATCAACGTGGTCGCGACGTAGAATCACTGATTTTGTATTGGAATGCTACATCGCTAACTGACCAGTGACTTGTGTTAGTGCTCTTTCCTTGTGGATTTTTTTGGCATTGAAGATGTCATTGGGCCTTCCGTTTTCGATCCGTGAAGATCCTACCTGTCGCATCAGTACATCGCACTATTAGGTTGCGATTTGCAAAGGCTATACAGCCTACGAAATGAGCTGTACTATTTTTGAGTGACTTTTCCGTCGTGTGAGAGGATCTATTCGTTGATTTACGATGGTTGAAACCGGAATGTGCATAACTTCATGAGTCCACTAGTAGATTGGGAGAATAATCAGACCTTATCATAACCCTTAGAGTAATATTTATATATACATGTACCACAAAGGACTAAACTTCGTAACCTTATTGAACAAAATCGGCGCAGGTTCTACTAGCATATATTAATAGACATACATTGAATATTCTCTTTTAACTGAAAACCGATTGTTGATTCGACAGATATTTACCAATTGACTCTTTCGAAACAGACGTTTATTTTATACCTCTTATCAGCTCGGGATTCTGATAAGCATACGCAGGTATTTTGATCACGATTGATCACGAACCTCTATTGAAATAATTGCAATGTTTCGTTTACTAATACTGTGTTGTTCTGCATCGTCTATAATTGTTAATTTCTGAATTGGTGTCTGCTACACAACTTAAGGCGGAATCTCGCTGCCATACACAGAAACGTTTGCGAGCACAAAAAGCTCTTCCAGACCTAATGCCAGTGGCGCTTTCAGAAGCAAGTGCTCAAAATCGCAGGGTTATATCAAATAATTTTCTTATAGATATCATGGCTACTCTTGCTACTATTTGGCATATTGAATGATTATCCGAGGTACGGTATAATATATATATATATATATCTACCTGTCTACTATAAATACATATATATATATATATATATATATATATGTGTGTGTGTGTGTATATATATATATATATATATTATAGTTATATATATAT